CAATTTGTAAGTATTAATAGTTGCAATTCTAGTTATAAATCAGTTTTGTGTGGTGTTCCTCAAGGTTTTGTTCTAGGTCCTCTTTTAGTTTTAATCTACGTTGACGACCTAATCAACTCTGTTCACTTCTCTTCAGTCCATCTATTTGCTGATGATACAAATCTCTTGCACATCAAAAATTCGTATTATTTTTTATGTAAAAATGGTAATTCGAATCTGAAAGGTATAGTTCACTGGTTAAATGCTAACCTAATATGTCTCAACACCAAAAAAACTGAACTAACTTATTTTTCATCTCCAAGAAAAAATAATTTCTTCAAAACTGTTAAAATCAAAATCAAAATTAATATTAAACGGCTATATTCTTCAAGAGTTATTAAATATCTTGCTGTAATAATTGATTGTAATCTTTCATGGAACTTTCACATTGATGAACTAAGCAAATATCTCGAGCTAACGGTATGCTTTCAATAATTCGTCATTATGCTGATAAAGTTACACTTAGGAGTATTTACTATGCATTATCTTCATCTTATATTAGCTATTGTTGTCAATTTTGGGTTCAAGTTGGAAACTATCGCAATAAGAAGTTGCTTTCGTCTCAGAGTCAATCCATCAGATTAATAAACTTCCAACATATTAAATCAGATACATCAAAGTCCCTCAAAAAACTTTTCATTCCAACATTTCCAGCGCTAGTAAAGTATGCTAATCTTTTTTTTTTTTTTTTTTTGAGTCCTTAAATAAAAATATACCACCTCCTAATACAAACTTGTTCACAAAAAGTAGACTATTACATTCTTACTCGACTAGAAATATACACAATGGAAAACTAAATGTACTTTCTTTTAAATCCCAGAAGTATGGCAAACGTTATTGTTTAACAGTGAATGGAACAGCAGTCTTGCATGCATGTTGAATGAGTCCAAAAAACTATCTCCTAAAATACCTTTACTCCATCTTAAACTATATTAATTTAAAAAAATTCTGAAAAATTTTTTATTCTTTTTGGCAAAAAGTTATTAACGATGTTAATGAATTAAATTCTTTTTAAAAATTTTTTATTTTTATTTATTTTTTTCCTTATTTCTAACAATTGTCTTATTAACTCTATAAACTATCCTATTAGCTTATCTATAGTTTTGATTTTTTTTTTTTTAAATTTCTTTTTACTATTTTCTTTTGATTATAGATTAGTAACTAGCCTTAACATACTTGTAAATAATTGTATATAATTTTTTAAATGGCACAAAGTAATTGTATATTAACTTTCAATGGTTGTACACGCTTGCTTATAAAAGCACGTCGGGGTGTAGTGATAAGGCAAGTATTGTCTTCTTTTAACCCCGGTCATGTAGATCTTATTTATACTACACGGCATTGTATTCTTTTTTTTTACTGACTAAATAAATAAAAAAAAAAAAAAAAAAAAAAATTTAAATATTATCTTAATTTTCTTTTCGTAACTACTACAATTATCATCAGCACATTTTTTTTTTTTTTTTTTTAATTACTAAAAGCTACAAATTGATTTCTACATGTTTGTTTTGATTTATATTTTATGTGTTTTGGTTTGTTTGTTTACAGTCCATGTTTCTCAGTGTATGTCTTTGCTTATTATTACTTATGCTATATTAAAAATTGGTGTCACTCCTTCGATCAGGTTTCTGTATGAGTGACACCATCCTAATAAATCATAAGCTTATTATTATATTAATACTATTTATTATTATTATTTTTTCATTGTAATTATTGTAAACAAACTTATTATTACTATTACTATAATTTGCATTATTTTTTTTATCTTATCTTATTATTATTATTTTTGCTATTATTACTATTACTAGCTGGATTGACCCGTAAAAATACGGGTCTTTGTAATTCTATTCCACACAAACCTTTTCCCTTATTTTCTTAATCTAGCTGTCCGTATCGGTAAATACAGGTCTTTTTTTCTACTTCTATATTTATTTATTCCACACCAATCATTTCTTTACTTGTTCCTTATTTACTTCAATATTTTTTAGTAAACGGTGGAAAAAAATTCATCAAAAAAATTTGCTTTGAGAGCAAAAAAAAACTTTAACATACGCACTTTTTCCGCATACGTATATAGCTTATTAAACCCCGTTTATTTTTATTTTTTTAAAAAAATTCTGAACTAAACTACTTCCTACATTTAGACCAGCCATGGACCATGGTTTATGGTCGCGTCCTAGCCATTTTCAATAGTTACTATTTACTATATTTATTATTATTATTATATGCTTAGTTTTGAATAATAACGGTCTTTTATAGTTACCTTTGTATTAGACGGAAACGGTAATGCAATTCTTTAAAACGTTAGTCGCTTAAAGCGTCAAAAGTCATGCAAAAAAATAAATTATAAATTTTGTGGTTTAAAAGTTGAAAAACTAATAATAATATAACAAAAAGTTTGGTAATTTTTCAACGTTATTATTTAGCTCTTACTTATGGTATTTATTTTGTTTTCATTTTACATTTTTAAAAAAATGTTGAAGCGCCTAACTACATGCATAACTTTGATAGCTCACAAGTTAAGTGCGCTGTCATCAGATTTGCTGTGCAAGGCTTCAAATCCGCGCCTAAAAAATCTCAATACATTTTTTTTAATCTGGCTATATTTATAGCAAAAAATTAAATATAACAAAAAACCTTTTAATTGTTTTTTTTTTCCCTGCCTCCACTGCAATACCATGTGGAGTAGCAGGACGGTTTTATCAAATTTTTTCTTTATTAGGTTTTAGGATTTTTTTTTTTTAAGACTATCCGTAGCTTATTAGGACCAATTATGTGAGAACAGTATCAAAATCGTGACACACACGCAACAAATTTTCGCCCCGTTTATTGGTGTTTTTAGAAATCCCAAAAATATATAAAATATAAAAAGAAAAAACGGTTAAAGTGTATAACATTTAAATTATTTAACTTCACAAATATTTTGTAATTTAAAGAAAAAAATCGCTGGTGGTAAATTTGAACCACGACTATTACGTTCAGAAGCTTAGCGCGCTAACCACTCGGCCATGCTGACACATCAAATATCGAAATTTTAAAAATATATAAAAATTGTTTTTAACGGAAATGCTGTAGATCCAAAATTAAGGAGAGGTTGACGCAATGCAATTTTTAAGTCAAAGTCAAACTATAAAACTTGAAAAATGTTTCAGTATGTTTTATTATTACTTAATTACGTACGTTAGATATTTGCATACACGTTTTCTACTAAAAAAAGTGTTGCGACTCTTTCTACTTACACTACTATTAAGTTCGGCATTATTATATAGAAGATAGATAGATTATAAAATATTTTTTCACTTAAAAAGACAAACTCTATTCCACATTAACCTTATCTCTATTTCTCCCTCAAATATTATTTAGTGAACAATAGATTATGTGCTAGAAAAAAAAAAATTCACATATGCACCTTTTCCGTATATTTATATTTAGAGCTTAACATGAAGAAGGTAAATCATTTAGTTCAAGACAACCTGCCCAAACCCAAATCCTCTGTTGATTTATGCACACTCACTGTGGCTAGGCCTGTAAAATAAGTAGCTAGGCAAGTCAAATAAATTAATTTGATCTATTTTTCTGCATAAAACAAAAACAGAAAATGTGAAGTACTTGATAAAAGGAACTGTAATATTGGATTTAGTTAATTCAATACAAAGTGATAGGAAACTGCAAAATAAGGTAACAACGTGAAAATTATTCAAATACTAATTTACAACAATTTGTATTGCGTTTTATTAAAATAGCTTTATTAAATGGTATGAAGATTGATGATTCTTCTTCTTCGCCTTTAGAAAATGGTTAACGATTTGAAAGACTTTTAAATTGATTATAAAAGCATTATCTAAAAATGAAATAAAATCATTATTGATAACACTGAATGCACATTTATTTGTTTTATGTTAATTCATTTGAGAAATGAAAAATACGAAACAAAATTTAGTAAAAATTAGTTCGGCAATATTATATAGAAGATTAGACACTTACTTTGTGAGAGTGCTTTTTTAAAAGTCTCTAATATTTGGTTGGAAGGCTGGAATAACTCTTTTTTTAAAAAAATTCAGTTTTATCAGCATTGCTAAAGATAAAAATTCTTACTGACACAAAAAAATTAGGCATTTTTTCTTTAAATATTTCTTGGCTTTTAGTGAATGATTAGGAGTAAGTTTCAGTAATGAAACTACCCAATAATCATTTTTAACGATAGACACCAACGTGAAGGTAAGCCAAGCTGTCTATCAACACAAAACATCACAACAACATTACAGGATGACAAACAATAACACTAGTAGTGTAGGCAGGATTTTTGTTGTTTCAGATATATATTTAGAAGCTGTTGAAGAGTTTAACTTTGTTATGTCTAAAAAAATTCAGGTTAGGAAAAACACTTTTTTTAAACATTTGTTCCTAAGCTTTAAAAACATCAATTTTTTGCAAAGTATTTTAATTCTATAAACGTGAATACACTTAAGTTTGGTTGAAAATGCTATCTGAAGCATCAAAAGACCCTGCCTATGCTACTGAATACACATAGCATCAAATATTTGTACATAACATATTTGCACATAACACAAAATATTCAGATTATGTGTTTCCAGAATAATTAAAAAAGCTAGACAACACAACCTAGCTCAACACTTGTAACACCGCTTGGCACTAAACGCTGCCAAGTAACACCACAATTTAGTAACACCGCTTGGCATTAAGTGCCAAGTAACACCACTAATTAGTAACACCGCTTGGCTAGCAAGAATCACAATCTTGCACCACACGTTGCCAAGTAACACCACTTTTCACATGGAAACAACTTAATATAAACTTGTATAAACTTAAGCACATAAATATAAATAAAGATATATAAACGCATATAAACACATTCATTTATATACACATATAGCAAAAAAAAAAAAAAAAAAAATACAAAAAATATAAAACACATATAACCATTAATATACTTGTCAAAATTATAAATTAAGAACATTTGTAAAGACAACATTATTTGTGTAATGTTTGTTAAATGACGTACCTTGTAATGGATGTTTATCAACTTTGAAAAACAAACTATTAAATGATCTTGTTCTTGAACATGCAACATATAATTGGCCGTGTGAAAAGCAAGGTTTTTTGAGATAAACACCAATTTTTTCAAATGTTTGACCTTGACTTTTATTTATGGTCATTGAGTATGCTAACCTAACTGGAAACTGACGGCGTTTAAGTGTAAAATTTAAATTTGCATCTGATGGAGCTAATTGAACTCGAGGAACAAATACCCTGTTACCAGCTGATACACCTGTTAAAACCTCACCATCAATATAATTGTTGTGTGATGCACGCACCATCAAACGGGTTCCATTACAAAGTCCACCTTTGAGATCTAAATTTCTAAGTAGCATTATAACAGCACCAATTTTTAATTTTAGGCAATAAACAGGCATACCTGATGGAGTCAAACTATTTAAAAACTCGACTAGAAAGTTATTAATTTCATTAAGATCATCAGTATCAATGCTATCTGAACTTAAATATGTTTTCACATCACCGGGTAAGCGATGAAGGACTTCTTCATTTATTGCCAATGAATCAACATTTGTTGGCGTTAAAATAGCACGTTTTGCATAATCAGCTTCTTCTGCACCACCGAAAATCTTCTCCACAATAGATTCATTATCACTGAGAAAGCACTGCTCAGGTATTTCAATACACTCTCGCAAAGGATATTCAGGCTTGACAGGTAATGTTCCACTTCCAAGCTTTAAAAGCCATTGAGAAAATTCCTCTTCTTCTATCTGAACCCTCATGTTTACAGTTAATGAGAACCTTTGCACATATTGCCAATGTTCAGAACATTTTAAACATGATTCTATAACTTCTGCTGGTCGACCTCGCTTCACAACTGGAAGTATTTGTCTGAAGTCTCCACCCATAAGAATAACCTTACCACCAAAAGGAAAGTTGTTATTACAAATATCTTGTAATAGCTTAGCAATGGCACTCAAAGCATATTTGGGTATCATAGATGCTTCATCAAGTAAATACAAACTGATTTGTCTCAGGAATCTACCATGAATAGAGTTTGGAGTTACATTACATGTGCTAGTTTCCAAAATTGGAACAGGAAGTTTGAATAAGCCATGCATTGTGCACCCATTTTTGAGAAGAGTTGCAGCTATTCCTGTCCATGCAGCTGTTGCAGTTCTAATATGCCTGCTCTGTGTTTCAGAAATTAAATAGTTGTAAGTAAATGTTTTACCACAACCGGCAGGCCCATCCATAAAAAACAACCTTGAATGCTTATTTTCATTAGTAGGTTCCACACTTAGTGCAGCAAGGATCGCATCAGCTACATTACGTTGATTATCATTCAATAATGGTCTAACTCGGTTTGCTTCATCAATAAACACCTGAACATCTTCATCATCATTTTCTAGGACATTATCTAAAAACTGATCTAAAGCTGGCAAATTATAATCAGCTAAGGTTTTACCACTCTGATTAATTATAGATTCAATTTGACGAAGAGCTGCCTGCTCAGCAAGTACGACTGGCATTGAATGGTGTATGTAATCCTCAACCATATAATTTTTAAATGTATTCCAAAGGTGTAAAGGATCATCAGGTTCACATAAAGTTAATATGATGCAAAACAGTAGCCTAATTTGTTTAAGCATCCGAGTTGCAGCAGCTTCAATTAATGTATTTCTCCACTCAATGTCATCTTGCAATAAACCTAAATGATAACATGCTTCACGAAATGTATTAAAAACAGTACCATGAACAGTACGCAAATCCTCGAAAGACTTTGCACCTTTTAAATGCAAAAGTAACAACCTGAGAAAAAATAATTCGCAAAATGAACTGACTTTATACATTCGAACAACCACCTTATCACTACCTCTTTGTCTTACTTTCCACATGCAACTTTTACCAAAAACAAAGTGATATGGAATTTCAAGATAAGAATACTGGCGTGCTTCATTATTTTTAGCATTTAACTTAAACCAAGCGGTTAGGTGAGAGTCACGCTGTGCTGCACGATCTATAGCTACTTGTTCTTCTCCTTCGTTAAAATATACTCTCTGATTATCAGGAAGGTGGATTTGAAGGCGGATAATAGTATGTGACATATTACTTATGGAATACTCATATATTCGCCAAAGAGCCTCTGGGGCGGAAACAAAGCGACAGTCTAAATATGTGTTAATTTCATCATGGTCAACACTTTCATTAATTACCACATTCGCACAATCATGACCCTTATAGACATATTTGTATAAATACTTCACTGACTTAATAGACATGCAAGCTTCAACATTAATGTGGGTTTAGTATTTTTTTGATAACCAGGGGTTATAGGGTACGACCCATCGATTATCAACTTGGTTACCTTTTATAACGACTACTCTACCATTATCTAAACGCCTGTAGTTAGGATAACCATTGAAAATTGCAACAGTGCAAGGATTAAACTCTTTAGGAAATTTTTTTGTGCAAACTCCTTCTTTCATGCAAGGAGAATTGGGATTTAAAATCCCACATGGTCCATGAATCATACATGTTTTTACAATTTCAAAAAGTTCAGGATCAACAGTTTGATCTGGAATTTCAGCTGATATTAAACTATCAATATCCTCTGCTGTTTCTACCTTATCATCGTTTACAAAGTGTAATAAAATATGCACATGTGGCAAACCACGTTTTTGAAACTCAATAACCTGTACATGACTTACAACTTTGCCTAAGACTCCATGTTTAAAAATATCACCTAAGAAGCATTTAAGTTTCATCTTAAATACGCGACAAACTAAATCAGGCCTGTCAGTTGCGCTCTCACCTGGATTTAAATTTTCTGTAATTTCTCTCCATTTTGAATTACAGGTAAAAGTAATAAAAAGATCTGGTTTACCATATTTCTTTATAATTGCCATTGCATCTTCAAAATTTTCTTTTAAAGCTCTTGGACTTCCAACATATGAGGATGGTAGTATAACAACACGACCCGGTCTTACATTAAGGTTATTTGCAACATTATTTACATACTCATGTAATGTATCGTATTGTTCACTTCTAAGTTTGTTTTGGTTATTTCTGATAAAAGCAAGGCGCTGTCCTTCAATCTTGACATATGCATCAACAGCATACTGTTGAAAAAGTTTCTTACCATAAAATATAGGACTGAACGTTTGTCTAATAGAAAGCCTATAGTTGTAGTACTGAGATAAAGTAACACGATTTCGAACACGTGTTGCTCGGTCAGGATTGTGCTCTAGTTGATCATGCCATCCTGCATCACCTCTTGGAAAAAATATTGGATATATCATTGGATCTAGATTTGCAGACATACTTGAAATTGTTTTTAAGGGTTGACCTCGAGGATAAATAACAACTTCTCTAGATGGAGGTGGAGCACCATCATTTCCTACAAACACAATGGCAACCTCTTCATGTGATGGAAGATTTTATCGACGTCTATCACAACCCTCAAGCAACGACATTTTGACAACAGAAATCGGTCGACCTTCTATAGCAGCTTGACGAATTTCTGCATCTTTAACTTCTGCCATGTTTTTAAATGCAAGCGCATATGGGTTCTCCTGATTAATTATAGTCTGCAAAAGTTCCATTAACTCACGTATGCAACAATTATTTTGCTCCATTCGAAAGTTTAAAGCAGTATTAGGATCATAAACATATAATTGACAATAAGCAGGTGGATCCCCTTGCTGATGTCTTAGATTACCAATACGATGCATAATTTGCCCACTAATTCTAAAACAGGGTGGACCACGATTTGACGGAGGATCTATTGTGGCTATGAATGAAGCAAAAGATAGACAGGCATTATAATTTCGTATATGCTTGAAAAAATTTTGATTCAAAGCACGATCAACATGGTTGCCTGTCATTAAATCAACCATCAGCGGTGGATAAGGTGAAAGTGGAGGTAAGACAACCTTTCCCGAATGGCAGCACAAAAAATGTGTTTCATTTAAAAATTTTTTAGCACCACCATACGGACAATTATGGTTCATTTCTCCTAGGTAATTACTCTCTATAAAAACATTATTTCTTGCTATGCAATGCATTTCACGCCTAAATAATACTCGTCGAGCTTCATTTCTTTCATTTTGGCGACGATTAACTTCTTCACGTCTAGCCTCATTCCTTTCATTTTGGCGACGATTAACTTCTTCACGTCTAGCCTCATTCCTTTCATTTTGGCGACGATTAATTTCTTCTCGCCTAGCCTCATTTCTTTCATTTTGGCGACGATTAATTGCTTCTCGTCTGGCCTCATTTCTCTCATTTTGGCAACGATTAATTTCTTCTCGTCTGGCCTCATTTCTTTCATTTCGACGATTTCTTCTATTTTCAGCTCTTAGGTTACTTGACATAATTGAGAAATTATTTATGTTTGATAAAACTTTATCTTAATAATTTTTTGCTATACTAATCTAAAATGAACAAAAACAATAAAGTGCTATTTATCAGTTTAAACCTATGAAACTATGTGTATAGCATCTAATAAAATTTGTGAACAAAAGATATAACTAAACTGGTTTGAAACAGAGAAAAAGCCAGAAGTATCTTGTAATAACATACTATATTGTAAGTAATAAAACAGTATTTTTTGAAACAAATAAAAAATTTTATTATTTTAAAAGTCATATTAATGGTAATATTGAAAAGCAAAATTAGTTACATATTTTTAAATGACATGCCAACAATTGCAAACATGTTGCATCATATAGACCACATGTGGCTGACAACTGATTTTAAATACTATTTTATAATATATCTAAAGAGAAAAATGTAAAGAGATTAATATGTGTATAGTGCATATATTAGACATATTAAACAGATATCATAGAAAAAGAAAAACTTTAAATATATTTACCCAATCTTTCAAAAACTATATAACACTTAACAAATAAAAGTTAATACAAAAGAAAATTTAGTATTATTAAAATTAAAAATGAGGATAAAAAGATGTAAAAACGTAAATTAATAAAAAAACTTATAGACAAATTATTAAAAACTTTTATAACATAAGAGTTCTTTGTTAGTTTAGGATTTAAAAACAGAATTAAAAATCAAAAAAATAAAATAGTAAAAGTATATAAATTAAAATAATAAAAAATTGCGAAATTAAAAAAACATTTTTTTAAAAATTCAATTTTCTTTATAAATAAAAAAGAAGATAATTCTACCAGTAGTTTAAAAAAGCTACTGGTAGAAATTAAAAGAGTTAAACCGCTTTCCAGCACCCCTCCTTCTACCAGTGGTGTCATATGGGGCTTCTCTCCTCCATCTAAAGGAGGGATCATCTCCCCCATATTGACTCCACCGGTAAAAAGCTCCTGAAGATATTGGACCTGGGTGCTGGGAGCGATATTGCAGGAAATCTTAATATGATGCTAAAAAACAAAAACAAAAAAAGAAATAAATTTGAATACAATACTGCAAAAAACAACCAATAAAAATATTATCCAAAACTATTTAGACTTCAAAAAAAAAAAGTTATGACAAAAAAAATAAATAAATAAAGTAATGTAAAAATATAGATATGCAATGTTTAAATTTCATATATACCTACACAAATACACACAACACCCACAAAACTGCATAAGTATGCAAAACAGATTACCTGATGGTCCTGCAGATATTGTTGCTATTATGGAAATAAAAAAAAAGTATATGAACTAACACATATATTAAACAGTTATGTAATTGCATACAAACATGAAAAAAGTAATGTTTAGGTTTCAATACACATAACACTGCATAAATACGGAAAAACTGCATAAGTATGGAAAACACATTACCTTGTGGTACTGCAGTTGATACTGTTGCTATTGCAGAAATAAATAAAAAAGTATATAAACAAACAATATATTAAACAGTTATGTAATTGCATACAAACACGAAAAAAGTAATGTTTAAGTTTCAATACACATAACACTGCATAAATACAGAAAAACTGCATAAGTATGGAAAACACATTACCTGGTGGTACTGCAGTTGATACTGTTGCTATTGCAGAAATAAATAAAAAAGTATATAAACAAACACATATATTAAACAGTTATGTAATAGCATACAAACACGAAAAAAGTAATGCTTAAGTTCCAATACACATAACACTCATAAAACTGCATAAGCATGCAAAACACATTTAAAAAAATTTAAGTTTCAATACACATAAAACTCATAAAACTGCATAAGTATGCTAAACAGATTACCTGATATTATTGCTTGAGGTGTTAATGTATAGACAAAAAAATAAAGAAATAAAGTGATGTGCAAAATAAGATATGCAATCTTTAAGTTTTTCATTAAATTACATCATTACCTGATGGTACTGCAGATGATATTGATGCTACTGTGAAAGTAAAAAAAAAAAAAGTGTATAAAGTAACATATGTTAAACATTTATGTAATTGATAACAAACATGAAAAAAGTAATGTTTAATTTCAATACCCATAACAGTCATAAAACTGCCTAAGTATGCAAAACACATTACCTGATGGTACTGCAGATGATATTGATGCTATTGTAAAGGTAAAAAACAAAAAAAAAGTGTATAAAGTAACATATGTTAAACATTTATGTAATTGCATGAAAACAGTAATGTCTAAGTTTCAATACACATAAAACTTATAAAACTGCATAAGTATGCTAAACAGATTACCTGATATTATTGCTTGAGGTGCTAATGTAGAGACAAAAAAATAAATAAATAAAGTAATCTGTAAATTAACATATGCTATCTTAAAGTTTTAATACACATAACACTCATAAAACTGCATAAGTATGCAAAACACATTACCTGATGGCACTGCAGATGATATTGATGCTATTGTGAAGGTAAAAAAAAAAAGTGTATTAAGTAACATATTTTAAACATTTATGTAATTGATAACAAATATGAAAAAAGTAATGTTTAAGTTTCAATACACATAAAACCCATAAAACTGCATAAGTATGCAAAACACATTACCTGATGGCACTGCAGAAGATATTGATGCTATTGTGAAAGTAAAAAAAAAAAAAAAGTGTATAAAGTATCATATGTTAAACATTTATGAAACTGCATGAAAACATGAAAAAAAAAAATTAAGTTTCAATACACATAAAACTCATAAAACTGCATAAGTATGCTAAACAGATTACCTGATATTATTGCTTGAGGTGTTAATGTATAGACAAAAAAGCAAAGAAATAAAGTGATGTGCAAAATAAGATATGCAATCTTTAAGTTTTTCATTAAATTACATCATTACCTGATGGTACTGCAGATGATATTGATGCTACTGTGAAAGTAAAAAAAAAAAAGTGTATAAAGTAACATATGTTAAACATTTATGTAATTGATAACAAACATGAAAAAAGTAATGTTTAATTTCAATACACATAACACTCATAAAACTGCATAAGTATGCAAAACACATTACCTGATGGTACTGCAGATGATATTGATGCTACTGTAAAGGTAAAAAAAAAAGTGTATAAAGTAACATATGTTAAACATTTATGTAGTTGCATGAAAACAGTAATGATTAAGTTTAAATACACATAAAACCCATAAAACTGCATAAGTATGCTAAACAGATTACCTGATATTATTGCTTGATGTGCTAATGTAGAGACAAAAAAATAAATAAATAAAGTAATCTGTAATTAACATATGCTATCTTTAAGTTTTAACACACATAACACTCTTAAAACTGCATAAGAATGCAAAACACATTACCTGATGGTACTGCAGATGACGCTATTGTGGAGGTAAAAAATATATTTACATAAACTAATCAATTAAACAGTTTATTTTAGAGTGATAAAACCGCACACAAACATCAAAAAATTGTGTGTTAAAAATAAACAAAAAGAAACATAAGTCTACTTTGCTTGCCAATTGAATTTTCTAAATTTTCTAAACAGAATAAAAAAAAACTCAATAACATTAGGAAAGAAACAAACAATGTTAGTTTCTTTCCTAATGTTAATGAGTTTTTGAAAAATATAAATAATAAAGTTGACAAATATTCTGCATGTTAAACATGCAGAATATTTGTCAACTTTAGGAAATCTATAAATAAAGTTGGAACAAAACAAAAGGCAAAAATAACAATCACAAAACAAAACAAACCAAAAAAGAAGAAAGCGACAAAAAAAAATAAAAAATAAACTAAAGAAACAATCCACAAGAACAATATAGTAACTTACTAAGTTGTTGAAATATAAGCCCTATAAAAAAAAATGCTAAAATTTGTATCAAAAAAGCTAAAAGACCATAGAATACACCTTTTTTTTTGAAAGTAAAATGCTATATCTTTATCTATAATTCACAAATGTAATATAATCAAATTCTGTTTACCCATTGAATGTTCTAATTTTTCTAAATAAAATGAAAAGCTTATAAACATTAAAATAAACTAACTTGCCAAATATAGAATAACTTTATGTTAAATAAATATGTAATAAAAAAAGTAAAAAGCATGACAACAACAATAACAAATTGCTTACTTAGATTCTCAACAGAATCTTCTAATTTTTCTAAATAAAATAAATTTAAAAGTTACAAAAGTCACTTGTTGACTGACTAACTGTCACAACTGACAAAAGTCAGTTGCTAAATAACTTTAAAAAAACTAAAAAAGCATAAATGTATTTGCACACAAAAAAAACAAATAACAACAACAAAATTCCTCACTTAGCTTGTCCATTATTTCCGCTAAACATTAAAAAAAAGTTGTAATTAACAAATTGCTGAAACTGGTGAAATATATATCTTTGTAACGTATCCTTCTCATACAAAATTAGCTTACTTGGCAAGACCTCTTCGGCTCTGATCTCTTGAACATCTAATATATATATAGACAAAATTAATTTTCAAAATATTTACTTTTTCAATTAAACATATAAGATTTGTCTGAATGTGTTAAATTATAAAACTGTTGCACAGTTTTATAATTTAACACATTCAGTAAATGACAAAAAGTTTCATTTTACGTAAAAGTTTAGTAGTTAGAAGACTTAAAAGCCAATTTTAGCTTAAACACGTTTTATAAAATTATAGCTTAA